GCCCGTATTTTCCTCGATTGCGGATCGTTCCAGAGGAAACTGCTCGTTGACACGTGAAACGCGTTTACGTGGCTCGCGATAACCTGTGTATTAAAATAATTTGTACGCAACGACATTAATCGACGATATGCAAATCTCGGTACGTGCTGGTGGATATTCTGTAAATAGTCGTTAGCGGATTATCGCGGCAATATCTGTTAACGTGATCAACCTTTTCGTCGAACTCGCTGCCGGATTATAGCGGAGACAAAGCCAGGCATTGTCTAGGGAACCGTGATGTTTAAACAAATTTATTTTAAAATAGTTTCAATACGTATAAGACGAGATATTAGTCGCGTAAAACAAAGCGGATGAAGAATCGCTTGATGTTAAGAAAAACAAAGTTGGTGCATTACGTATCGCGATCTTACATCGCCTCTAATCCTTGTAATCGTTGAAAACACAGTTTTTTTAACTGAGAACTGTTGTTTTCGAAATTATTGAAACGTACAATTTTAGTTTCAATATGACAAAGATAATCGAGCACCAGAATTACAAAATCTCTGCCACGTTTTCGTCATCCAATTCCACTTAATTCGTGGGTAAAAGTTACTTAAAAAATTGATTCGCGAAGACTCCTGACTTTTCCGTTGGTAGCGAAAAATCGCGCAACTGCGGGACCCGTATTTAGAGAGTCAAGCAACAGAAGAAGAACACCAATGAAGAAAGAAAATTCCTTGGTTTTTTTTATTATATGTACATACGAAGAACCACCAACCGCCAACCATAGTTACAAATGCACCATCGGTACGTTATTGTAAAAGGTTAAAATGACCTATAAGGTTCAGAGCTCCATCAGCGTGTCATTTAACCCATGAAAAGGCTAGCCGCGATACTGGCGAAACTAAGAGGTATCTTATCCAAAGGCCACAGCTTAGAAGTCTCCGTTAATCAACCATGAAGATCGGGACCGTGAAAGCCTCGAATATCTTCGAGAACCATGGTTCGCGGTTTTGAATTCGTGCTAGTCCATTCGTTCAACGTCGATAAGAAACACGAGCGTTCGTTTTTGCCGTTGCGTAGCGAAGCGTGAAGATAATGCTCGGATACGTCAATGCGTTAGAAAGTTGTTGTAACGAGTGCTCGTTAAAAATCACGGGAAGCCACGAGGAGGAAGCGGCGGTAAAACTGGCGATGAAACATCAACCGTGTCGCGTGAAGATAGAAATTTGTGTACCTCGCGGTAATTGCGCTTCCGATTACTTTCCACCCCGTCCAATAATTACTTTATGCAGGATGCATCGTTAATAAATCCGTTTCGTGCGAGGCGAGTGGTCCATTTATTATAAAGCGCACGCTTTCTAAATCGTTTCCGATAGTCCAATGTTTGCCCGGAAAATAGTCACGCGAATCAGGAACGAATCAAGGCTTCAAAGGCTACAGCACGCTAGATTCAACAGATCATACGTAATTTTTGTTCACTTTACTCCAAAATTAGACTTTTCATTTTCTTAAAAAATGATGACTTCTTTTAGTTTTTTTTTTTTTTTAAACTACGACTTTTCTTATTTTCATAAAGTATGGTGATTCATTTTATTTCCTTAAAAAATGATTATGTTTTTAATATCATTTCTTTCATTTTTTTTTTTTTATTATGACTTCCTCCAACTTTCAAAAATAATATCGTAGTTCTTCATTAATCAAACGTGATTAATCCTTCTTTTTCTTTTAAAAACTACATCTGCTACTTTTATTCCAATTGCAATAGTAAATAACGATTGCAGATTTATTTTTCATCAATATCGCTTTCGGTTTTCTCGTAATCCAGGGCCCTAGAAAAGTCTATTTCACCCCTGAAGCAGAATCGAGCCAAAATTGGAAAGTAGATCGTTGGTGTTTCATGTAAAGGGAAAAAGCAGAAAGAATTCCATTCGCTATTGAAACAGTTCTATTGGAGAAGTGCCAAAGTTGTGTCTATTTCGATACTCCACAGATAAGTTCAAGTTCGCTCGAAGACATTTAAAGTTTACTTTAGAACCAATAATCCACTGTCAAATCTTATTTTGACTTTCTAAGCGTCTTTTATTTATGAATTTATTTCTGAGTTTTTAATATAAAAAGAAATGAATCACTTTTATTGCTAGTACCATATCGCTCTTTCCGAATCTGTGCAATTTTCAATAAGAATCCTTTTGTCTATTATTCAAATAGCGAAGATATTAAAGTGTTCTCCAACAGAATCCTCTGTATATAAAGACGAACATTTTACGCATCCGTGCAACAGAGACGTTTAATAATACTAATGTCCGCTTGTTCCATTTATTGCCTAATTTTCTAAACGACGAAACTTGAGAATTTCGAAGCGACAAGTAGTGTGAGAGTACAAAGGAAACTTTCACGACACTGGAATTGAAAAGTTGCGTGGAAAATGAGAATCTTGTACGCGCGCCTACTGAAAGAGGATCCCTGTGCGATAGCTAGACATTAAAATAGCCTACACGGTGTACAGAGTTTCTATCAAAATTTAAATGTATTTAAAGAAGCCTATAGTCTCGGTGAAATCAATGTAAAAATAATGTTTCGTGTGACGAGAATGAAATTGTTGGTTACATTCACGCGAGAAAACATGGCTCTGTCAGAAAAATAGACAAACATGCAGCCATTCAAATGAAATTTATATACATATATAAACGAATAAATTAAACTTCGTATTTATTATATTTATTTTCCCTTTAATTGCAATTATTTTTAGTTTTGTTTACGCTACACAAATAGAAATACCTCCTTCACTCTAAATAATGACATAACTCAAAGATCATGATTTTCAGGAAGACTAGAGTTAATGTTTTCATTCGTTATAACTTGATTGAACTGGGACAAAAGTAGTACAACATCATTCATTGATCATTCTGTACCTAACTGATATTTAGCTAACAAAATACTAGAAATATAATCTCTAAACTGCTGTGTAGCGTGCAAATTTCGTTGCCGTGAATGTTAAACCTTATGTAAATAGCTGAAAGTTTCACGCTACGTCAATATCCAAGGTACACGAAAACCCACCATGGAATTTCGCATACTACGGTTAAAAAACGCTTGTCTATTATTCTTTAACCAATAAGACTCTATTTTGACTTGTTCTAAGAAAAAATATTTAATGCAGTGTTTCTCAAATTTTTAAGGAGCACTCACGAAGAATGAATTTCTAGACCTGAGAAAAATAATTATCTTCGGTAATAAAATATTAAAGAAAAATGCGGTTGATGCATATGTGCATTAATGCACGCTGCACAGTTAAGTTATCTACATTTTCCTACATAACGATTTTTAACAAATCCCCTTGGATTACAAGACGTCATGTTTTTAGTGAACCACCCTATATATAAAGCGCGGTCTACCTGTTCGACCATTAAAAACTCGAGAAGTATAAAACCAATTCCGATGTGGTTTTCACCGATCGATTGGCCACTTCTCGAGAAAGATTTGAAGTTGTTGAAAAACATGTTCTGTAACTATTTCTACTTTCTTTCATCGATCACTTAATTATACCTATGAGGTTAAAAGAAATTTGTACAATAACCAGTCATTAATTATCGCGTAGTAGTAACGATTAATCGTTAATAAAATATTACGAAACTTCTTTTAAAGTTTATTATCGACTTAAAATGGTTAAGAACTACTGACGCGGAGATTAAAACAAATAATCGGAAGTTCTGTGCACGAGCGATAATTCTAAACGCCTGATAAAAGTGTAGTCGAGTTTCGTTTCGACGGCTCGAGAAAATGACGCGTGTCGGCATTTGAAGCGCGATTGCACAACAATTCATTTTACCGCAAACGTCGCATGTCAAATGGGAAGAAATGAAGCCTAACGGTATGCGTCGCGTCACTGCGTAAAGTAATGTAAATTTAATGTTGATACGGTCGCGTGAAGTTGGGCGAGAAAAGATGACCCGAATGAAGCTCAAACGTGAATGTAAGGAGCATCGTACCCGACACAAGTATGTTAGAACCTCGATTATCTCGATAATTTTGGGATAACAGAATATTTTCTGCTCTTTCCTAATATTTCAATTCTGTAACAATATAAAAATTATTTTTCTGCAGTTTAATAGCAAGCAAAATATAACCTTAATGAATTGAATTTATTACAATACTAGCATTTAAAAAATATATCCCCTTACGCTCAAACTGCCTGCATCGCTGGCGTAACTACCGAAGGTGTTCCTGCTTACGAAGCGTACTCCAACTAGTACCACTGCTAACATAACTGCTACACCCTCGTGGACCTAAATATAAAATAATGCATTTTTAAAAATCCATAAACGAACGAACGATTTTTTAATCTGCGTTTTTCTCCTATAATTAACATCCTAACATTGTCTTATAGTTGAAATAAATGTCATTTGAAACCATATAATTTATAAGTGGAGAAGGTACAAACTATTTTCTTTTTCTTAAAATGGCTGATAAAATTGCTTTCAAAAATCACACGAAAATACTACTAGTAGTTGATTTTTGTATGACTGTAAAATAAAACCCACAGATTTATAATAAAAATTACTTAAACAGAAGGAGAAAAGAAAAAACGGAAAACATTCTTATCGCTAAACCCAGATAAAAAGATTGACAAAAGCACCGTTTATCTAACGCATAAGAACGATTACACCGCGTGTGGCTGTTATCGAAGATTTAGTCAGCGCGCCTCTAAAATACAAATATCCTATTGATAAAATTGATAGTCAACCGTGTCATTGAACCTGCAATTTATATATCGAGCAGCATGTTTAAATTTATTATTACCCCAAAACTCCAACATTTGTTCTGACAAAAATTTCGGTTCATTGCTCCATCTCTTTACGCTCTCGTGAACCACGATATGATTTCTGGGCATTTATCGTATGAGATTTATTTTAGAATTTCGTTATCAATCGAAAACACATATGCCTACATTCAACTTAAGTCGGCTTCGGTAGATGGTGTTATCGTTGTGGAAACTGCTACGACACGTGAATACAATCTATATACTACCGTGAATAGTCAACGACGAAAAGGGAAATGACTTCTTGACAGCAGAAACGAAAAACTAATTTTCCAAAGAGTCTGTTATCGTGTATGCCGATGCTGTTAATGTACGAGTTGCATCATTGCGACAACGTGATCAAGCAAGGTAGCAAATACTTAACATGCATCAAAACGACCGACTTTGATATTATTGATTATCCTATACATCTTTAATTGCAGAATGAATAGAAATGAACGAACCGTTCATTAGAACGTTACGCACAAGGAGGCGACGACAGTTGACCTTAGATTTAACATGATGATTATTGTTACGACTATATAGCGAAACAATAGTGTATTTAATCTCAAATTAATTCTATGAAATTTTCAATGGCAGTAATATCTTCGAATGTTTTCGTCGTGAGGTATATTAGATTAGCTGTATTCTGTTAAACGAGTGCATCTTATGTAAAATTTACGGAAGAAATATCAGAAATTTTTAAAGAATAATCAACAAGATGGGATCGGAACAAAGTTCGCAAAGTGGTACGCAAAATGCGAATGTTAACAGGATGAGAACAACGCCTCTACGGCGTGGTAAAAGCGTACCAAATCGTGAAAGAGTACCGGACGATACACCGCCAAGATGCATAAGTCCTGGTGCTAGTATATGTTCTGATTCTGATCTACCCTATATATCGTACACGGTAAACAGACCAATCGGAGATTCGCCGAAAATGACTAACAAACAATCACAATTATATAGAGGGAAAAGTTTGGGTGCACAAGATATATCTAGACGTAAAAATAGCATAAGTACTAGCAGTCACAGGTAATACATACATGGTATTTTCATTTTTTCCAATTATTTATTTTATTTACACAATTGATATGTAACTTTCAATCACAGAAAAACTACCTCCGATAAGATTCACAACATAGTGGTAGTAAAACCAGCTGCTGCAGATCCCACAACCGACAAAGATCCTGATTTGGTTAAATTACAAAGCATTCCAATGTTCCTACCTATCATGCGTGGCACCTTAAACTTACCTCCAGGTGTTAGAGATCCAGAAGTACTAGAAAGACTAGATCCAATCGGTTTGTTCAATCTGTGCGCACGCTATCAGCATCACCTCAATACTAATGCTCAAATGATTGCTGGGGAACAAGCTGCCCTATGTATCGTCTCCAATATCGATCAAGAAGTTACCGAGATTCTTCGTTTAGTAGCAGAAAGGCAAAAGAAGTTTGCCAAGTTTGCGGAACAACTGAACAAAGTACATGAGCTTAGCAAACAATTGAGTAAATGTCATTCTCTTCTTAATCAAACATTAGAGAGTCTAGAAACACTAAATAATCTTTTACCTATAGAAGAGAGATTGGAACCATTCGTATGGACTACTGGATAGAATTATCATTAAAGATATCAAGTTGTAACTTCAAAAATTAAATTATATCTGAAGTATACTGCACTGGTGCTAAAATAATTTAGATGAACTTGATAAGATAAAACTGTTAGAACTTCGTAATTTTTTTTTATCATTAGTGATAAATGTATTACCAATCCTTATCCAAAGACATCTAGTACCTATATGTATTGCACAGAAAACTCTTCTATAAAATCCTATACTATATGTATATATATATTTTCGTGTTAATCCTACAATTGTATAGTAAAAAATATGATGTTTAATTTCAAAAATACATACAATTTCCTATGATCAAAATCTTGTATACTTTATTAAATAAATTGGATCAATGTCAACATACGAAAATAAATTATCTATAGGAAAAGTGTAACACTTTATGATACGTACTTTAGTTGTTAATACCAACAGAACGTTGTGCTTTCACTTTTCTGTATGCTGCTATGACATCCTTTTGATCTTTTTCCAGTCTTCTTCTTTCTCCAACTGGCAAATTTTTTCGTTTGCCTGATTTATCAATGGAGATTGTCTTTGTAGAAACTATTTTTGGTGATTCATTTTTCTTTAGCAATGAATGCAGCAAGAGATCTTTTTTGCCAGGCTGTAATAATACAAATATTTGTTATTTTTATGTATAAAAGAGTAAAAGACATGTTAAATAATATGCACCTTTGTGCTCATTGTGGAATCAGCTGCCTTTGGCCTTATTTTGAATTGAGGTGGTTCATGAGCAACTTCACCAAACTTGATTTGATCTTTAAAATTTTCGAACTCATCCACATCATTTTCCTCCTTTGTTTCTTTCTTTAATTGTAACTTCTCTTTTCTTTTCTGACTCTTTGTCATCTTAACCTCATCGCTATCTTTCTTCTTCTTCTTTTTTATATTTTTATGCCTTGCCCTTAACATTTCAAGTTTATCCAATTCAGTTAACTTGCATTTTGAGAGTCCTTCAATGTTTCCTGTTTCCGGATTTCGATTCACTTGGACATTATACTTCTTCTCAAATGCAGTTTCCCCAAGAAAAGCATGAGTCTCTTTTTGAACTCTATGCAAGAAGTGTTCTTCGCTTTCTCCAGGCCTCTGTTGAAACAGAGGAACAACTTTCTCGGGTTTTGCTTTTGGATGCGAAAATCTGGGAGTCTCTCCGCCTACGGATATTAATGGATTTTTGTGCTTTTTCCGTTTCTTTATTTTAGTTATTTTTCCCGATTTCACTGTCTCCTTTAATCTTATTAAATGTTCCAAACTCCTTGGTATTGCTTGTTCGTCCACATCTTTTGGCGGAGCGTTTATTTTTGTTTCTAACCTATAACACGCAGATTGCTAACCTATACAAATAACTCAAGGATAACATTGATTTAATGCGAAACTCACTCGGCTTCTCGTTTCGCGTGTTGTTTAAAAGGATCCTTCACGCCTCGATGCTTTTTACCAGGAATTTTCCGACCCATTTTCTTTAAATAAACAAGACAGGATTTTCACGTGGTCGACAGTATCGTCTGCTTCGTACGTCCACTTGCGTCTGCTGTGAACGCACGCTGGTGTCACACATTCAAAACAAAGTCAAGTAATACTACATTTCTAATGAAACGACTGATGTTGAAGTTATACATTAATGTGTGCTGGAGAACTATTATTTCCAAACAAATTTATATTTGTTACAATTACAAACACAAAACATAACTCTAAAATAATAATTCATGTACGATAAAATTCTATCTCGCCTTTGATTAAAGAAAGACTTTTTTAACTAGTTAAGATATATATAAATTTATTTTTAATTAATCGAAATGTATGTTAAATTTAAACAATATATGATAACACAAATGCATTGCAGACAGAGACATCTAGAAATTGTATTATTCGTGACGTACCGAGCTATCGAGGCATATTTGCAGTAGATTCTCAGTGACGAAGGAGGTTAGAGGACGGTCTCAAAGTTTTTGTAAAACATTTGTGTCATAATATATAATAATTATACAAATACTCCAATCTGTGCATTCATTTAATTATTTGAAAACGTACCAGCGCATAAAGCAAATACCAACCATTTTGTTATCTCATGCTAATCATGAACTTTTTATTTTGTTTAAACTAGGTGCATTCGTAAAGAAAACAGTGATGAGTCTTGTTCGATCGTCCTTCTCAATTGTAAAAAGACAATCGTGTAAGTGTGGACAAGTGTATTCTACGTGTAAAAGACATATTCATAGTACATGTGAAACATTATCATCCGAGGAGAACAATATCGAAAAGAACGAAACCGAGAATTCCCTCTCGATAGATGATATGTTAGAACCCACAAATTGTTGCATGTCTGGATGCGCAAATTGCGTGTGGATTCAATATGCAGAAAAATTGAACGCCGCGCTCGAAAAAAGCGATGTGGACGTGCAAAAGTTGATTATAGAAAAAGTACAGGATCCCAACATGAGAGCATTTCTCACGATGGAACTCAAATGTAGAAATATTATTAAATAACGAAGAGATTAAGATAGTAAATATTTGTACATATTTACTTTAGACGTAATCAAATTTTCTATAATAAAATGTTAAAGTTAATTGAACTGCGTTTCTATTTAACCTTGCTTCGCATTTGCGATTTTTGAATCCTTTCCAATTGCTATACAATGGAAATAGATCGTAACGGAAACAAAGCTATACTTTCTATATAGATGTAATATAAAATTTGTAACTACCAGTGTGAACCAATCTGCGATGCTCAATTTTATCGCAATTACAAAGAACTCTATTAATATTTCGTAACTATCGTGTGTTTCTTGTCAGACTAACTTTCTCACGAATTTCGACGCGAGCTTCAAGTTTAGAACAAACACAACCTCGTCTTCCGAACTGCGCGTTTTGCATTCAGATGGCAGCAGATGGCAGTTCTTATATGCAAGCAGTTTTCTGCTAAAATTTTACCATACAACGGTAAATATAGAATTGCATTTGGTATAAAATATAATACTTTCAACTTATCACAACATATCATGGACTGTAATATTACCTATGAATAGTAAGCCAAGTTGATTATGAAATTTTAAGTTTAATCCGATATAGAATACTACTAAATATTACAAACTACTCAACAAATGTTATTTAATAGAACCTCAGACATGATAAGCAGTTTTATTATCATCAATTAAGAAATAAAAAATACGTAAGACTTTTTAAATTGTTCGAAACAATTAAGGAAGTAATTTACAGGATAAAATATTAAAGAGAATCTAGTTGTATTAAGAGATTACTGTCTATTGGAGTTATTCGGTTTTAATCGGTAAAATTGACCATTCTACTATGTAAAATATTTGCAATTATCTACGAAAATTAGTGTAGTTGCTTTAACGACACAGCATTCCATGGCATTGCGATAATCGGGTGTTCGTACGTATTTTTACGCACAGCCTACATTACACTCTCGCTTATTTACATTCATATACATATGTATAAAACTACTTGTGTTGGTTACATTAGTCGCAAGAATGTGCGTCACGTATCAACGTGTTGGCAATCGAGAAGACGTTTGCGAACCTCGTTTCACTATTTATGCTATTGGTAACATAAATAAGATAAAAAGATTCTAGCAAAAAAAAATATACAGGGTGTCCCAAAAATGTTGGAGGTCCTTGAAAAGGGTGGTTCAGGGGGTGATTTGAAACAACTTTTTCCTTAGCAAAAATGTTGTCCGAGGCTTCGTTAAGGAGATATTAACGGAAAACGTCGACCAATCAGAGCGCGCATATGCCGTTGGGGCGGCCGCGGTAGCGAAGGGTACGCGCTGAGCGGCCGCGCTCGTACGCAAACAAGTGACTCGACATGCATCGAAGGACCTTGACGCGGCCGCTCAGCGCGTAGCCGTCGCTACCGCGGCCGCTCCAACGGTATACGCGCGCTCTGATTGGTCGGGGTTTTCTCTTAATATCTCCTTAACGAAGCCCCATCCGACATTTTTGTAAAGGAAAAAGTTGTTTCAAATCACTTCCCGAACCACCCCTTTCAATGTGTTTCAACATTTTTGGGACACCCTGTATATATATATATATATATGTATATATAATATAGTTCTCCTGTGGTCAAACAAAGAATCGATTTCGAACACGAAAGTCTCGCGAACATTGAGCATGGTCAATTTTACACTTTGTTCAAACTTTTCCTCGTACTGTTATGCGAAACAACGCGTAAACGCAACTTTCGAAACCACGAATCTCGATTGAAAAATCGAAACGAGAAAAATCTGTGAGAAAAATATCGCATGGTTGCAATAAAATGTTTCTTGTCGAAAACATCGAAACGTATAACGGTCGTGCATAATCTTATCTTTGCCCCTGCCCACATGTCGAGCCTTTCTACTAGTCCCGCATACGCGCACGCTCTTTAACGCGCATACGATTTTATTTCCATCGAGCACGCGTGTATGCGAGCCGCGTTCTGTCACATGCGCACACCTTTCCAAGTATTCCTACACTGTGTATCAAAATTATGAAACCATTCGAAAGGGTATAGCTGAAGAAGGGGGGCCAGTAGAATCCCTAAACCAAAGTCGTTTTATTTAAAGTAAAGAATGTACAAAAGTTTCACCTTATAGAGTTTCCTAACGAGCAAAAGCCTACGATAAAGTAACATATACACGTGTCCTAATTTTCCATGTAAATATATATGAAAGAAATCGCGCGTGTAATAGGCTCCTAGTTTGCAGAGCTTTCCGCATCCTACTACTCCAATTTAAACTGGGAATTAATTTACACCAGTTTATAGAGGAGAAACAAAAAAATAAATGAATTAACAAGATATGCATAGTCATTCTACATATGAAAAGAAATATTTATAAGAAGTAGTCATACCCTTTATGTTTATTCAAGAAAGTCTCTATTAAACGTTTCATTATAAATATATACATACGTCAAATTCATTCCTGTATTTATAATGAAAAATTTATTTGGTAACATCAAACCTACCATTTAATTTAGACAAATTTCTTTAATAAACGGGGAGGATACATATAAATTTTGAACACATTATATATCCTTCGTAAATACCGTAAGCAATATTTCTCGAATTGAAGCAATTGTATCCATTTTCAATTTACTACTTCGTTTGAGCGATAAGATACAACTTGAAAGCTTAAGTTTTGTTTCAGAGCTGTGGTTCCCCTACACCTTGACAATTGTCTTCATGAAAAGATAAAAATAATAACTTTGATAAAATGTTTCCCTAAAAAGAAACTAAAATTCTAATTAAAAAGTTGAAAACCACTGATAAATGCTAAACTTAAATAAATATTAAATAGTGTAGATTATAATGCGAAGAATTAATGTATCCCTTTTCTCCAAATTTTTTACATAAAAGTTATAGCGGAGTCTTTACCTTGTTCAAAATTTATCAGAGAAATTAAGAAATGAAGAACTTCGTGTAAGCTTCAATTAAGATATTGCCTACAAGAAAACCGCATTATGTAGCGAAAAACCCAGTGATGGTCACTGGTAATTTTCGCGATACGATCGTTTCACGTGGCACGTACGGTGAGCGATACGACTCGAATCGCGACGCGCAAAATTCGAAATTGTTGAAATGGTATTATAGTTATGACACACGGTGTATATACGGTCGGTAGTCCACACATACTGTCACAGGCGAACGGATACACGGCCACGTGGATATCGGTACACTCGCTCGTGTGCTCGCGCTCGTAGTCGCGCGTGTGCGTGGATTATTTTCGCTTATGCCGCCGCGCACGCAATCTCAGAAGTGGTTCTCCCGTTGACAGGTTCCGAGCGAGTTTCCGCCGGCCCTCGAGGCACCGATCGAGAGTGGTTCGGGATCGACGATCAGCCACGGTTGGTTCCTGGATCATCCGGCCCGGCGGGATCCGCGAACGAGGCGACAAAGGTGTGTCGCGGTCGGTACCAGTGACGAGCACGAAGGAATTTCTTATGCAACGATCGGCGGACAGGTTGGATGGACATCGTCATCCGTCGGTTTTACGCGTCGCGCCGCTGTACGGCGAACCGTCGCGTCGGCGCGCAGAAAAACACGAGAGAGAAACGTGTCGCGGGTGAATTATGAATGATTCTCGCGTCGAGAACGTTCGCGCGATTCCGTGTGGTCAGAAACGTGGGATCGAGAACGGAACGATTAAGAAGGATGCTATCGGTACCATCCGATAAATCGCGGACAATATTTGACGGAAACGAGCAGGCGCGAAACACCTGGCGCGCGGTTTAATTTCCGCCGACGAACGTCTTGTCGCGCACACGTCGCCGCCGACTGCGGAAATATCGGTCATCGCGAGCGTCACGGAAAATTGATAACGATGACGAAACTGGACGGGAATAAACGATAGGATGCGCGTTTCCACGAGAAATCGTACGAACGATGCGTGGCACGAACGTGGCCGTGGAACTTGGAACGTTCGCGTTTGTTTTTCAAACGCCTGGCTCACGTTGCGATCGAACGAACGCGCTTCGACGAGTACCTGCGTGTTTTTAGCGAAACGTATCGCGCGTTAAAGGTGCTACGACCCTGCGACCGCTGCTGGTGTGTGTTCGACCTATAGAAAGTTCCGAGAGCCGTCGCGTTTCTAGGAAGCGAGGAAGCGACGATTTTGTCGCGGGTGCGCGGCAAATAGGAACAAAGGAACGATGAGTAGCTAAATGCGTGAGATCGGAAGGAACGAACTGTAAGTAGCGTCTCTAAGACGCGTGTTCGACTGTTCGAATCTCAATCAAGACCATCGATCGGTTCACAAGGGAAAAGAGTGCTCGATTAACGAAAATCATGGTAGACGGAGAGACGGATCCGAGGCGGGTCGAGATTTTTCATCTTGATTCGTTCGTGGAGTTAGCGAGGAATCTATAAATACGAGAGGCAAGAGAAGAGAGACACGGGTGGCGGGCGATATCGTTGAACGAAATGCTCATGACCGAAAAAGGTTCTCTCAGGAAAGGAACCAACGAGGAACTGGACGACGAGCATTCGACAGCCACCGACAACAACGTTGCGTCGCTGAACAAGCTACTCGTAAACTCGACGGTTCCTGCGGCTGCAGTTGCGGTGAAACTATACGAGGACTCCGCGGACGAAGCCGGAAGGAACAGCGCCGAGAAACAGAAGCGCGGTATTCTTAGCAATTTTCAGAGGAGAACTTTCAGCAGGATCAGCTTCAAGGGAGAGTCTGGACCTTTATTGAGCAGGTGGATTTATTTTATTTTTTTTTTTTCTTAAGGGTGTGTTCTAGTTTAAGATTATAAAAAAATCTATATTTGAAGGTATACCTTTAGAATTATATCTGCCAAAGGCTTTTATTGAACTCGGAAAATTAATGAAATTAGGGACATTTAAAGAGAGTAGTATATAAGTATACAGCCAGTCCCATAAGTACTCGTACCCTCCATGTCTTTTGAAGAAATTTTCCAAATGAATTTCTAATAAGTTTGATGTATCCAAATAAGTGTTTCATTATACATCAATTGAAACATTTACATATGTGCTATATTAACAGATCCTACTTTCTTGTGTATATGCAATGGTGCACGTGTAATCGATAATTGCATTATTCTTTTAAGCAGAAATGCGTACCTTTTTTACATAGATTGAATCCTCTTGTCATTCTACATAAAAGCACTATTAAACTAAAGCGATAAAAAAGTAATTATTTCACGAGATATTTTAAATGTAAGAAAATAAATGTTTCTGTAGTATTCTGACAAAACTATTAGTTTGAGTATACATAAACAGTTTTAAATGGAATACTTTCGTCGCTCACAATATCGTTTGTTATCAAAAAATTTATATTTTTGCTGAAATTGAATAAATATACTAAGATAATTTATTTATCATTCCCTCGCTTGCAAGTCGCTTTAAAACTTTAATGATCTTAATGTTGCCAAACAACAGTGCGAAAAATCACATTATACGCATTTGCTACTATAAGAGTAACACAGAAAGCAGTTATACATAAGTTATCAAGATCTAATGATCGTTGAATTCTACTATGTCAATTTGACGTCGGTAAAATCACAAATCGAACAAGCATCGAATCGTGTAATTGACTGCACACGTTGCAAACAGGAGAAACGTAAACATTCATTTATGAACAAATAACTCGTCGTAAATTTTTCCACACTTACCGAAGATATGAGATACAAATGTATTCCAAATTAATTATTAAGTTTTACTATCGCTTGAGAAGTATAGTGGTTAATAGTCAATTTTCTCTTATCGATAATAGAAATATAAAAACTCGAGTCCTTTAACGAAAACGGGACAGTGTTTGCAAGTTTCGTAGCCGAAACTCCAAGAAATAATTTCTCACTGAATAATTTCAATTTTTTTACGAAATGAGAAGATTCGATATAATCAGTTGCTTGTAAGTACATATACGATTATTGTAAGGTTTGTGACAAACAAGTATTATATGCGTCATGTATTGTTGTCTCATTTATACTATTATCTACCAGGAAGTACATTATGACCTCTTCTTGCAGCGACGCTATGGGTTCCGGGTTTTACTTTAGAAACGAATATATAATTTTGACAAATATTCTCTTACGCAATCTGTTGTTTCCAAAAAATTATTCTGTTGGCCAAGATATACGTTTATCATTAGATACGGAAAGATAAAATTTCAATGTCCCTGATACAAATCATTGATATGTGAAATGCGTTACTCTGCACTTTGAGCTTTCGCGTTGAATTAAACGCAAATCAAACAATATTTCTGCTGATTTATGAGATACGCGGGTACCCAGATACTCGTGATTTATTCTTTTAATGAAAAACTATCCGAGCATCTCATGAGACTGACAAAATCTTATCTCATTGATAGATTAACGTATAATTAACAGTTTATCGTATAATTAAACCATTCCTGAGTAATGATTAAAATTAAATCAATATAAAATCAAAATTGCACTTTTCTTAGACAAAACAATTGAATATTAAAAGAATGCGACAAATCTTGTAAGTTAGTCATTATGATTAAATCAATTGTTAAAATTATATTCACAAACTATGTTACGGAGTCTTTAAAACCAAGTAAAACCATCGCCAGGTGGTTTCATGAAATACCGCGTGGGAGTTCGCGATAATGCTGTCGAAAGCGGCGCGAAACTTTCAAGCGGCAACGTCAAAAATACGCGGTGAGCCGTTTTGAAAACTGGATCACAATACACGACTCGCGACCCCTCGAAAATAGCGTCGAACCGTTCCCGTTACCCTGCCGCGATCGGCAGAAATCTTGCTTTTCGAGACAAGAATAGAAGCACCTAATTGCGGAAGACGCCTCTGCGAGAAGCATGGATCCTCGACGCCGGCGTCGGCCCATGTCCGCGCGATAAAGACCTTTGCATTTCGCCAGAGGCGAGAACGACGCCTGCTCAGGCTCCACTCGCACCCTCGACGCGTTTCTTTCCTTTGTTTTGCTCGCGGACCGTTCGATCTTTTCCAATTTAAGGTAAATGTTTCGAGATAGTCACGTTCAAAAATGTAATTAAAAACTTTCGTAAAAGTAGTCTTACTCCTCTCGCGTACGTCCATAGTAAATCAATGTTCAACCGTTCTAATAATTGTTCTAATAAGTAATACAATAATATTTGAATTTAAATTTAAATAATATTTCGTTTTGCATAAGTATATCGACCGTTTAGTTATGTTCAGTATGTAATTGTCATATTCGCTTGTTTGATGAAACCACAATATCCTATTATTTAAATTGCAACATCGCGTTAGCTTGAAAGAAAATAGTAACAGGAGCAAGTTATCCTAAGCTATTTTAAAGTTAACCTAATTTAAAGATTGCCGAGAAGTTCTAAATTAATATAAAAGAATCGTTGTCTGGGACAAACTGCAACATCACATGTTCCGTTACATTCGAACACGAACAATGATTCCTTCACTTTAACTCAGAATTTTCCAACAATCTTTCAACTGTTTGAAGTTAGAACGCCTCGATTCCTTTGATCTATCCTCCTTCAAATATTCTATTGATCACCTATGAAGTATTAAAGTATTTTTATCTAATAAGACGTCGTATTGTGTAAAATATACAATATTTCCTAATACGTCAGCTGTATCTATTTTCAATTTTTTCAACTGGAAATTGATAACTAACATCTGGACGCAACGACGCTTTCCAGAGGTTCCTTAAATTGTAGTATAACAGTTACACTTGTATTCAAAATAAAACAAGAACCATGTCACTATGCCTGGAAATTAAAATAAAAAGGAAAGTACTATTTTTGAATAAAAGGAAAAGCAGTTGTTTTTATTACCTACAGATGCAGGAAATTCTGTAGGGTGGCATTAGAATGCTTGTAATTAAAGAAAAAGAAAACAACGATAATTATTGTCAACAGATGCAAAAGACTTTGGATTGCATTAGAATGCTTGAAAATGTAAAGAATGAAGTAATATTTTTCTAGTAAAAGTGACAACGCTAATTATTATCAACAGATGCAGAAAATTCTGTAGAGCAAAGTTAGCGCCCACATAAATAAAGAAAACAATAGCAGCCGTTTTTAGTAAAAGATATAAAGAAGAGAACTAGCAGTCTACGCTATGTACATAGATAATTTTTTCTCCAAAAAACGAACTCAATCTCGGAACCAGGATGAATGCGTCCATAGTTTAGCAAACTATCCTCGGTGCACGCAACATATCCATCGAACGATACGTTTTGTAGTCATCGTTTGTCATCGAGGCTCCATCTCTAGCGAATTAAACGAATCTAGCCGATCGCGAACCGTGCCAACCTGGCGCGCAAAGACAAAAGGGAAAATCGCTCGCCAAGGGTCGAAATTGGATCGCTTCAGTGTCGGCCGAGCCTCTGTTCGCCAACGAACCCGTCGATGAAATCCGCCCTTCGATCCCCGCAACCGACAGCGCCGTTTTCCTTCTTTCCCGTCGCCTTGGATCTTTTATCAATGATTTCACCCGGTGACGCGTGGTTTTTATAAATAGTTCGCAAAGTGCGTAAATCGGGGTTCCGTTTTGGCAAAGTCGCTCCAGAAATCGTCGTTTCGTTTCCCTTACGCGGATCACGTCTCCTCCCCCGCGTCGCCAATTTAGCGACCGATGGTTACCGATCGCGTTCTCCGCGAAAATTAACGCGTCGAGGAGCTGGTGCACACGTCGACGAGTGTTACGCAAATTCTGTTCCCGATTCGGCGGAAACGGCAAGCAGAAAGTGTCGTTAAAGCGTTTCGCGTTCGACTCGTAATGCACACGGTGGTTTTATTGTTTGCCCGTCGCAGTGTCTCGTGGAGATCGTGCAAGTTTTGGGTGCAACAGCAAGGGTGCGACGCGTTCATAGTGGTCCGTCGGACGAAGAAGACGCGGCCAGATCGTCGATAAACGGATGTGGTGCAAAAGGCTCATCTGGATTTTCCAGTGGCTCTGGACCGGCTGCGATATTTGGCTTTGACGATGAGTTCTTTATCCGTGGTGCCTTAAAAGCGACCGCTAGAGTAACGGCCTCGGACGTGAAAGCTTAAACTTAGACGCCGAAATTCCGGTGCAAGTCGAACCGAAATACATCGAGTTCTAAGAGCTGCTAACATCGAACCATTGCTTCGACCATTTCTTTTCTCTTTTTTCTTTTTATCCGAACGGTAACGCGGCCAGCCGAGCCCGAACGGGCTCGAGCACACGTGCGATTAGAGTCCGAAAGCATTTATTTTTGTAATTTCGTTTAGTTTCGGGGGTGACTTAACGCCGAGCGAGCCGTTGATCGGTGATCGTCATGTGTAGGAATTGTGCGATAAATCGTTGGTGTCTTTGAAGAGAACGGGCTTGTTCTGGCTCGAGACCAGACCTACGGTTCATGGAGATCTCAGTGAAGTGAGAAAATGGATGGGTCGACGTCGAAAACTCTCTCGCCGAGTTCTTCAGGGTCAGGGAAAGTCCACTTGGGGGATGGAATGGCGTTCTCCGGTTTGCGAAGGGCGCTCTCTCAAGTATCGATGTTGGTTGTGAAGGCGACGACCTCTGGAGAAACGGCGTGGAGGGAAGAGTTGCACAAGTATACCGTTTTCCCGAGATTTATTTGCATTACGATCAGGATACCACTGTTAGGGACTCGCTTTAAACGTCTGATCGAAAAGCTCGATCAATGGTCTTCCGACCGAGACATTTGAAAATTTCACACCGACTCGTAGTATACGTTGCGAGAGTCTCGTTGAAAATCTGCCTTTGA